TGGTATTAAAAGTTAACTTAGTTCACTGCAGTGGTGATGATGGTGTGGGGGTGTGTGAAAGTAACCTCTGGTGGTAGACAGAGCTGTCAGTTATAAAGCAAAGAAATGCATTGTCAAAAGTTAATCCCTTTGCTGATAGGGCAGGTGACTGTCAGCTCCCATTTCCTTTAGGCTTACAAATTTGTATTTCTATTTTTGAAACCTACATCTGTATGTTCTATTCCTGGACCCTTCAGCTGGTTGCGTATACTAGATTATAGAAGCAAACAAAAAAGAAAACAAAGTAAAACTAGTTTAACCATTTTGAGGAATATTATGAAGTTTGTTTGGACATTCTCCCATTTCCCCCCTCCACTTTTTAAATTCTCTTTGAAACAAGGTCTCTTGTCACCCACACTAGCCTTGAACTCCTGCCTCTATTATTCAAGCACAGGAATTACAGGTTAGTTTATGGTTTTTGAAAATAGACATTACAGTTGGCCTATTTATTTGAAGAACCTACAAGTAGGATGTACAATGTATGTGGAATTGCTATTGTTCTAGGGATTGGTTTGGATCGATTAATCCAAAGTTATCAGTTAGTCAACAATTTATATGCAAAGGAGCTATTGAAAGTAGCTTTCGTGAAGTTCTTTTTATTAAAAATTGGTACACATGATGAATCAGTAATCCAAGCATTTGAGAAGTCACAGCAGGAGAATTGCCATTAGTCCAAGGTCAGCCTGGACTAGAGTGAGTCCCTATGTTGAATAAAAAAGCAAAATATAGTTATATACTCTTTGAATCTATAAACAAAGTTTGGAAATGACAATTTCCAAAGATAGTTCTTGTTTCTTAGTACTAAGTTTGAAGTCTTGGTTGTTTGGGAGAAGGGCAGGAGGAAAGAAGCCCAGCAGATATTATGTGGCATCAGAGTGTTCTGTGAGCAACCCCAGTTGGTCTTATTTGTAATTAATTGTGGAAAGATCTTTGTTTGTGGTTCTGAACTTCCCATATTTGTTTCTTTGAGCAAAGCTTTCATGAGGCATTTGTTGAAACAATTTGCTGATTTTTCTAGGCCTGTTAGGAATCCATAGTCTGACAGGGATGTCCTTCTGAATGCTGTGAATATTGTTTCTCTTACTGGTTGGTGAATAAATACTGACTGGAAGTACAGGTGGGGCTACCAGACTAGGAGAATTCTGGGAAGTGGAAGGCAGGGAGGAGCCACCAGAGGCCATGTAGCCATTGAAGGAGTAACATGCTGGAGCATTATGGGTAAGCCACAGCCTGTATAGTTTAATAGAAACGGGTTAATAATTAAAAGACAGCTAACCAATAAGCCTGAGCCACTGACCAAAACAGCTTATTAGTAACACTCTTATTGTGAACATGAGGATCTTTGAGGACCCAAATCTAAAGGTTAAAACAGGGGTAAATGGAGGACAGAAAGGGAAGGAGAGAGAATCTGTTGATTCCAATGTAGGTTCCTGCTTTTGGATAGATACTTCTTTTCTTTCTCTGATAATTTATGTTTATATTCATCTGACTGAATTCATATGTTTAAAAATAACATGTGACTGAGCCCAGTGATAGAATTTACCTAGCACACACAAGGCCCGGAGTTCAATTCCCAGGACAGAGGCAGGGAAATGCACTAACATAACAGTCATGCAAGTTCTGGCTATTTTGAACTGATTGAATTCGTTTTTGAAATAGAATTTTTTTTCAGAGTGTTAAAACATCTTAGAAGAAGTCCTATAAAAATATAAATTATTCCTAGATTAATCTCTGTGTGTTAAATAATCATTTTCCCAGGGATAACCACTCATGCCAGTTTTTGATGCTGATTTTCATACATATTTAATATTAGTCATTGCTGATTCAGAAAAGTCTCAGTTTGAGCTAAAAAGATGACTCATTGGGTAAAGTGCTTCCTACACAAGCACGAGTACCCAAGTTGGGTACATAGTTGAACATGTCATCATGTGCCTACAACCCAGATCCCAAAGGCTTACTGGCAAAGCAGTCTAACCGAAATGTCAAGTTCCAGGTTTACTGAGAAATGGCCTAAATAAAACCTCTGGCCAACTCCCCATTCTACCCCTAATCCACAGAGTTGAAGGCACAGTAAGTCAATTGAAACTTAAAGTCCCTTTGATCAACAATATTTGTTAAGTTTGTTAAAAGACTAGATTTATTGTAATGCCTGGGATATCTAGTTATATATCTTCCTTCATTCCTGATATTAGCTTACCTTTTATCTTTATTTTTAGATAATGCAAAATTCTTGTCACACATCTTCATATGCTCCTCTTTTGCACTTGGGATTCCAATTATACATGTGCACAATTCCTGTGTATTACCCTGTTAATCAATGAAGTGCTGATTTCTGGATTTTCACCAGCTTTCCCCTTGACTTGGTTATATTTGTTTGTTTCTGTCTTTCCAGGGTTAGTGCTCCTTCTCCTTTGCCTTATCTTGTCTTCACGGTTGTATTCTTCCAGTAGTTTTCCCATTTCCAATACTTTATGTTTCTTTTTGGTTCTTAGTCTTCAGTGTTTCCTTTGTCTGCTTGATTGTAATTATGATACCCAACTTTTTCTTTTTGTTTTTTCGAGACAGGGTTTCTCTGTATGGTTTTGGAAGCTGTCCTGGAACTCACTCTGTAGACCAGGCCGGCCTCGAACTCACAGAGATCCTCCTGCCTCTGTCTCCATACTGCTGGGATTAAAGGCGTGCACCACCATCGCCCAGCAATACCCAACTTTTAATGTTCCCATTTTCACTGCCCTAGTCATTACTGGGTCTATTTGTTTTTATACTTTTCTTCTGTTGTATATAATGCATGTTTTTGTTAAGTTCTTTTAAGTGTTGAAATTTGTTCTGTTAGAAAGTTATTTTATTTCAAAGTTAAATTTTTTTCAGGTGAACTTGATTCTCTTGATCTTTTCTTTTTCTTTAAGCTTTATTGGAGTAAATCTAAAGAGACTGTTAACAACTTGCTATAAACAACTGGAGAGCAAATGTTTCAGATTTTGTAGGCCAGGACCCTGCCACTACATTCAAGGGAAGCCAGAGACAAATGTGAATAAATAAGCATAGCTGTGCTCTAGTTAAACTTAAACACAGACAAGTGGGATTGTTCAGTGAACTGTCTTTTTTCTGCATGCTGTTCAAAACCTTAACTTTGTGAACTCTGGAATTTGATAATACGGATTAACAGTAGTCTTGCTTTTTTAAAAATTACAGTTATTTTCCTGACACTGTGTTGTTTCACCATATAAAAGTAAAAGTTTATTATTCAGTCATAGAATCAAGAGGAACCAACACTGAAGCAAGTTCCTGAAGCATTGCTTTACAGTTTCCTCCTTTGCTGTATTTTGCATACAAATTGCTCTCCATCCGTGGGTCATCTCATCCTCTCAATGCCTTGAACATCATTCTTTGCCTTCTCAATTCAGTGAGGCCCGCATCTTCTCCTTAGATTTCTCTGTGCTATATTTAGATTCCTCTTTAGCAGAAAGCCCCAGGATATTTAGGAAACTCACTGCATTGGTTTCTTTTCTCAGGGATTAGAGTGCTATATTGTCTATATTCCAATTGTATCATATATATTTTGTTCACTCTTCTAGTTGTTCATAGTAGGAGAACAAATCCTACTTGTTTATTGTATCCTGGCCAGAAATAATAATTGTTTATGGATATAGTGTGTATGTGTGCTTCCATGTGTGCCTATTACATAATCAAATGTATTCACATTTTAAATAATTATATCTTTTTAGGAATAAATTCTCAAACTTAAACTAAGTGAATACATATTCTTTCTCAGATTACTCAGGATTTTAACCTAATGGTTTTGTTAAATACTATTATAGAGAAAATACTGCATTGGCAACATGATGAATTTGGTATATATAATTTCTGTCTTTATAAAAAGTCCTGCTAAGTTTTCCATGTTCTTTTCTTAATCTTCAGATGGAAAAAAAAGTAGACACAGTGTATTAGCTATCTTTGAGGAGCGTTTTTCAGTAAACTACTCATAAAAAAAAAGATGATGAGAATTTCTGTCATTTTTAACAAGTAAAAAGTTCCACCTAGCAATAGTACAATTACAGCGAGCAAATAACAGTCGTCCAAACTGCAAATATGACTTCCTTATTCAAAGGTTTTAAGCAGTAACATCTAATAACAGAAGTAAAGTTTCTGGTTTTATTTTTCTGATAGATTGAAAAAAAAAACTAGTAGTAAATCACTCCTTTGTGTGGTCTTTAAAGGAACAGTATACTATGATGGAATGGTTGCTTTTTTTTTATTTCATTGTTTTCTACTTAGTTTGATTGTGTATAAGAATTCTTGGGAAACTGTACTATGTGTATGTCAATCCTGAAAGACTATTTGAGCTGCTCAGTTCATGCATTAACTTTTTAATAGGTTGTGTATTTATCTGTCTCCACAGACAGAGGTGTTAGGATTAACCTCTGGTTAACAACAGTTACGTCATCTATAAATGCTAGTCCTAAAATTGCAATTTTTCTTTCTACCCTTTCATGCTTCCCAAACAAAATGGGGTTTTCCTCCCTAAAGCTTAAAACATGAAAGTACTTTGTGAAATAAATTTTCACTGAGGTTATTATAAGACTGTTACTAACACACAGGTTGACTAGTGGACTATCTTACTGGAAGAAAATGAAACCAGCTTTCCTTCTGTAAGATGAATATTTCTGTGTCCTTACTTTCCTGGTTGTAGATACCTACCAATGGATATTTGTACTGGATATTGACATGTCAGTTCTGTGTATTTTGTGGTAAAGACTCAATAATAGAGACTGTTTTAGAAAAACAGGATGTTCACTTTTTCTCAGGTTACCTTTACATACGCTAAAAGCACTTTAAATTCTCTTGGTATGTTAGGGTGAAGTAGAGGAAGAAGAGTGAAGAAGAAATTATTCTCTTCACCTGCCCTCCAGAAATTCCTGCTGTTCTAAAGCTCTTGTTTTTGTTTTTGTTTTTTTCCCTAGGAGTCCAATGTACTGATTGCTGCTAACAGCCAAGGTACAATTAAGGTAAGCCATTTTACACATCCCCCATTTTAAACTCAGATCCATTTTTTAAACTGCAGCAGGCTCTTGGAAATATGAGCCTTCACTGTCATTTCAAATTAGTTGACATTGAAAGAAATAGATAGCTCGCATTTATGAAGATGATCATGCTTGTTTGGAGTTAAGGGCTAGATGGGTTGCTACATGGTCAGATTGGACCAGCACAGCCATACACAGGGCATTTAGTGGACCCTCTGTGGCAGGACATGAGTGCTTATGTATTTGCTGCCTTCACCTCTACTTTTCTTCCTCGTTTTTCTCTTTCTTCTCTTTGATAAACAAGGTTTTTTTATCCCTCCCTTCTAAGGTGGTAGGTAGTCAAGATAGAGAGGAAATTTTAGTGTTCTGTAACTGAAAATCTATATGAACCTGAGAGCATAGTCTAAGACACAGACTTACAGTTTCTCATGTGCTTTCATTTTTAATTAACGGTTCAAGGAAATCCAACTTCCATTAATTATGACTTAGCATTTAGCCTTTGGGCATAATGTATTTCTTATGTAAATAAATGCTGAGCTAAGCAGTGAACTTTTGCTAAACAACATTTTGTTTAGATGGAGGTTTCTAAGTACTTATGTTTAGCTAACACATACCCTTAAGAGAACATCTTCCTTCTATATAATGTTCTGAAAATTTCAGAAAGTGTTTTTTATGATGTGTCTGTATTGACATTTATTTTGCCACAACTTCCTTTAATTCATAAATGCACCGTTGCCCGAAGCATCAAAGGAACAAATCCAAACTAAGTATATTCTGTGGAGATGTAACACAAAAACTCACAGCAGAATTACATCAGTAGCTAGTCAGGCTGATTCATATTACAGTCACCTTTTCAGGCAGGTAGTCTGTTTGTAATATCTTTTCTAAAGAGGGACCACAACTTTAATGAAAACTAGGCCTTTGTACCGATGAACATTAGTTCTTTTCTGGAGGCCTCAAGTAAGATAGTTAGTTAGGTCTTGGAATTTGATTGAAGTAGCTAGTATCTCAGTTTCACATTCTCTTGACAAGGCATAGATTGAACATGAAACACCTTAATCAGCAGCCCAGACATACAGAGCAAACGGAAATATTAACACCCCTATAGTAACTCCAAGGCTACAGTGGAGTTCATAGACTCTCAGAACCAAAGATTTTTCAGCATTGGCCTGTCATGTCTAGAGGACAAAAAGTATTGTGAAGTTCAAGCAGAAAGTGAAGGGTTCAGGTCTTTATCACCTGAAATTAAAGTGTCCGTGGAACAGTCCTTGACAGTCCCACAGCCACCCTCATGGTCTCTGTCCTTTCTTAGCCATTTCCTTCCTTGTTTTCTCATGTTTAATTTTAACGCCATCACAGCTTACTTTTATAGCATGATAATAACTTAACACTAAACACTAAAACACTAGCCAAGTGTTTTCATACCAGATGGTTAGCTTTGATGCTGAAAGAAAAACAGGAAATGCAATATTAATATTCTCTAAAATCTTGATCACTAGTGTTGCCTTAGTATTGTCGACCTAGTACTTATTAAAAGAAAGTCTTAAAATCCTTAACAATACTTTTTCCTTAAGAATGTATTAAGATACCAACAGATACTCCAAAGATATTCTGTGCATGCTTCACCTCAGCCCATTGGTATCCATCAGTTTCTTACCTTAAAGGCTCCCTATTGGTACAATAACTAATTTGAAATTTTTCATACAGTGCTTGAATTGAAAGAAGGAATGAACATCTGGTTCCTTCAGTTCTTTGGCATTATACCAATTAGTAGGTATTTTTATTTGGTTTTCCAGTAGTGCATACAGTAAAGTGTCATTAAATTCTTTATGTTTTTAAAACTGCTCTTAAAACTCTTCTTGTGTTTCGCCTATTAGGTGCTAGAATTGGTGTAAAGGGTTTCCTGAACTTAAATCGTGTTTGCTCCTCCTGAAAACCACCTACAGCTGATGATGACAAAAGAAAAGAAATGGCACGTGATGTCTTTCCAAAGTCACCCTGGGTTTTGGATTTGTTCTGAGTACCTTTTCCTCCTTTTACGCCATTGGGACATTGGGACTACCCAGAGAATTCTTCGCCATCAGTGTAACTATGAACTTTGCTGTTGGCTGTGTGGCTAATTTTTTGTGATAGGGAAACAAATTCTTTTAAATAAAAATAAATAAAAAATAATAAAAGTTTATTGAGCCACAACTGAGCTGGGAATGCCTTTGTCAGGGGTGGTGAGAGTCTTTTGAAGAAGTAGCACATAAGGGCTGTAGAGAATGTTCTGGCTGGAGTAGGAAAGAGGCTCAGTGAACAAGAGCACTGGCTGCACCTACAAAAGATAGTTCCCAACACCTCGCAGCTACCTGTAACTCCAGTGGGAGATCTGACGTCCTCTTCTTGCCTCCTGGATGGAGCACCAGGTATGCATGCGGTGCGCACACATCCAGGCAGAATGCTTTGAATTAAAATGAAAATAAATCTTATTTTAAAAGAGGAAAAAATGTACTGGTGAGTAGTTTTAAAGTTGCTTTTTTTCCCAACCCCTTTGAAATTGCTCATATCAACAAGAACAAAAGGTAAAATGTATGAATTCCTTCCAGTGAGCTTTATATTTACAATAAGAAAAGATTAAGAATTCCTTTCTATACACCCTGCTGAGATTATCATCATCAGATCTTTGGGCCCCTCCATATCTGGTCAAAGATCTAAGAGTTTGACTTACTGAGATCTAGTAAAAGGGAAGTTCTTATAACTGCCAGTTCTCTTTGTCACCAGTAAGCATGAGATAAAGCACGTAAGCTTTTGTTTTAACCAGACCTGTCAGATTATACTGACCAAGTCTGATCAGTGACTTGGAGCAAGGTCAGCTGATCTTTTCTGTAACGGGACAGATAGGAAATACTTTCAGCTTTGCTGGGCATGTGGTCTCTGTTATAACTACTGAGCTCCACCAGAGCAGCAGGAAAGTAGCTACAGATATGTGGACAAATGAGCATGGCTGGAAAATAGGTGAAGTTCCAGTCTCTGCCTGCAGCTCATTATCTGCAAGCCCCTGACTTAGAATTAAACTTGTATGCTCTGGCACTCCCAGTTTCTAAACCACGGGACCTCTTACATTGTCTAGATCATTTATAAATCATTTTCACATCTCAGAGCATTTGGTCAAGCAAAAGTAACATGGAGAACTACCTAAAGTCAGAAAACTTTTCAGTAAAAATGGTTCAGGCAAAATTGTCCACACATTTCATAAAACACAGAAAGGCTTGTTGGATACAGATATGCATGAAGAATATACTATCCCAGTAGATCCCTCAGCTAAAGGTTACCGAGACCTAAGTAAGCTTACACTTTTTCTCTGAAATTCCTGAATCCAAGTGCCTCTTAGAATTTAGAATCTTTGAATATCAGAAAATTCACAGGACACATGTAACTATATCAAATAGCAACCCCAATAGAACTAAAGCAGTATTCCATGGTCCAGCACACAGTTTTGCAGCAGAGCATGCATGTTCACATTATATAAGATTGGTTAGTAAGGAGGAAAAAGAATCTTACAGTAGTCTAGGCAAGAGTATCTTCAAATGACTTCCTCAAACAGGTGAAATTTATTAGATTTTATGACTTCAGGAAAATTGCTTCTTACATTCTAAATTTTAAAACCTGTTAAATGTTTAACCCCAACTCAGAGAGAAAAGGCTACTACTATCTGGAGGCTATCCTGGTACTAGCTCTGATAGATCAGGCTGGTCTCAAATTCACAGAGATCCGCCTGCCTCTGCCTTCCAAGTGCTGGGATTAAAGGCATGTGTTATCACCGCCTGGCTGAAGTTGTTTTTAAGTCAATGTTTAGAGTTTTAGATTGGGGAATTGGCTTGTTAAAAAAAAAACAAAAACACTTAACCTCACAAATATGAAAACCAAAGTTTCAATCCTCAGAATCCACCAACAACTGAGTCAGTTTAGCACCCAGGCTGGGACCCCAAATTAGTAGGCAGACACAGGTTCCCCTGGGATACCTGACTAGCTATGGCAAGCTCTGGGTTTGGCAAGACCCTACCTAAGTAAAGAAGGTGAGGAACAATTAAGGAATGTGCACAGCATCCCCTGACATCCACCCATCTGCATGCTTATACACACTTGTGTTAAGGGATCCTGCCTGGGTTCCATTGCTGCTTTAGCCCCCAAATAACACACAGGACACTATATCAATTATAAGCTGTTGGCCGTTTGCTTGGTTTCTTACTGACTAGCTCTGATTTTATTTAACCCATAATTGTTAATCTAAGTATTTCTCTTACCAGAGAAAAGGGTCTGGACCTCTTATTCCTCTGGTGGCCTATTGTGACTGGCTATGTCTCTCTTTCCCAGAATCCTCCTCAACTCATAGTCCCACCTATCTTGCTTCCATATAGGCCAACACTGCTTTATTCAAAGCAATCAGACACATATTTACAGAATGACATCTCCCAATGTCTCCTCTTTTCTGTCTAAAATAAGAAATGTTTAAACTTTAACATAGTCAAATTATATATAACAGAACAGTTATCAAATAAGAACTATAGTTACAATATTTTGTTCATTAACATTTAGTAAGATTCAAAGAAAATAGCGTCTATCCTATCCGTGAGTCTAAAGTCTTATATGTAGCTTATCTTTTATCATAACTAAGGAAAACTATAATTGTATCTATCTGTCTTCAACTCCATCAAAGATCCCAGAAGGATAATATATAAACACTAGAATTGACAGAGACATCTCGCTGCCTGGACAGTCACCCAAAGCCCTCTGTAATGTTGGGGCATCTTCAGCCCATAGGCCATAATGTGTCCAGAAGGCTTCTCAGCAAAACAGGAAATTTCAAACTGTCCATCTGCACTGGCAGTCTGTCAGTCATTTTTCTGTGTCCTGCACAAAGTCTGATAGATTCTTCCATGAAGCAGGAACCCTGAAGGACTGTTGAGTTCAGCAGTCACTTTCCTGTGGGTCCTGTATATCCAGTTTATACAGAAACAGTGAAGCTGTCAGGCAAGAGCAGTTTCTTGCCCAAAAGGCTAATCTTGCCATGTTGAAATCAAACTGTATAACAAGTTTCTTTGATGCCCATCTTCCTCTCAGTTTTAATTGGTGATGCCAGGAGCAGACATTACGTTTTAAAAGATCAGTATAAACAAGAGGAGAAATACACATATCACAAAATTGACCTTGAATTTGTATCAATAAATGAAAAACCATACCAATACAAAGTATTCATTTCCATACCATATGCAACTGTGGCAGGGCCCAGGCGAATGGCCCTATACATAATGGTGTCAGCATGTGGGATATGAATTTCCACATAGAATGACAAAAGCTTAAAAGGGATTTTAGAAACAAAAGAACAGAGAAGCACGGCTTCTTGGTAGCAGCATTTTCTCAGATGGGCTCTGTTTCGCTAGAAACAAGCAGAGACTCACTCGGCTCACTTAAGGGAGTCTTCCTGACTCAGCATAAGGAGAAAAAAAAAAAACCAGCAAGGTTCTTTTAAGAGGCTCTGCTAACAATTGAATGGTGTGCACGAGCATCTGGCAGTGGCAGTGACCACATCTCCAAACCGGCACCATGCTGCTGGATGTCAACATAAACTGAGGCAGTGAGCCCGCTATGTTGGAAAGCCAGCGGCTGTTTCCACTTTAATTTTAGCAATGTTCTTTAGTCTATATAAGACACGTGGCCAGAAAAACAAAGTTTTACACTAAAGCCAAATTCAGATGAAGAAAAATATAGGTAGACTTGGGAGAGTAAAAGAAACAAGATATTGGAAAAAATAAAAAGTAGCTGGGTGTGGTGGCACACGCCTTTAATCCCAGCCCTAGGGAGGAAAACATAAACAGAGTAGCTGGGTGTAGTAACACATGCCTTTAATCCCAGCACTCCAGAGGCAGAGGCAGTTAGACTTCCAAAGAAATAGCCTGTTTCAGAGAAAAATAAATAAATGTAAAAGAAATAGAGTAATATAAGCCACGTAAAGATGGAAAATACACATAGAGTGGATACTTTATACTATTGTGTTTTTCAGTTTTTTGATTGCTAAAGGAACAACTGCTAAAGTACACGATTATAAATGCTACTGAATTAATTAAACATCTTTTGAAAATGCCTTGACTTCAAAATTTAAGTATAAGGATCTGTTACTTCGGAAAAGATATTTTATTTCTGTTGCCACAGAAAATGGAAAGCTGTGGATTCCTTCCAGGCTTCAGTGGTTTGATGAACCAAGACCCCTGGAAGCAGTGGGCCAGGTGTTCCAACATCTAAGACAGCTGAGACTACAACAAAAGGACTTAGCCAGGTTTTTGAGTTTTGTCATGATCCCCATGGTATTGACAGCATCCCCTATCATCAGGAAGCAGTTTGGAATGAGCAATGTCCAAATTCCCATATGTTTGTAAATCGTTGTTTTCATTTGAATAGGGTTGCTTATAATTGGTTAATGATCACAACCAATCTCTTTTTAAAGGTAAAAGGGGCCTTATAGTATAGAAATGAATACTTTGTATTGGTATGATTTTTCATTTATTGGTACAACTTCAGGGTCAATTTTGTGATGTGTATATTTCTCCTCTTGTTTAAGTATTTTGTTTATAATGATCTTTTAAAATGTAATGCATAATTAAATACAGATTATGGATAATTACTTATAATAGTCAGAACTTATAGTTAGGTAAGTTAGGTTTTCTAGATATACACACATGCATACACATGTGTTTCTGTACACATCCACATGCATACAAACACACCACATCCAAAACAAAACAGAATTTAAAGGCATTTATTTTTAAGTATGAAGATAAGTATAGACAAAGCAGAATGCAACAGAGCAATGGGAGTTACAGCTACATGCACAAATGAACTGCAGATGAAACCATAGCAGCTGTCCATCTGTGACTTTGAAAAGAAGCACAAAGAATATCTGCATATTCTTCCTGGGAGTGAAACTTGCATTTTAAGAAAAAGCAGTCTTAGCAAGATTATAATATAGAAAGTCCACTGTCATCCTTAAGTTTTAACAATTCAGATATGAATGACAGTATTTTACCTTTAGTCATTATCTCCTCAACTAGAGAATCGAGAGACCCTTTCAATTTGTGTATGTCTTTGGCTTGTCACTTCTCTGTGTCATTTGTATTTTAGTTTTAGAATCAAACTTTGTATTCCCTCAAACTGAA